ACGGTCCGCGCGTGAGTTTCAAGCCACCGGGTCCGAGACGCGAACCACGTTCGACTACGTGGGAGTCCAGTGACATAGCCATTACGCTAACTGCTGGTTCCCTATTCCATCTTTCTTAAACGCTTCTGGAGCACCCAAAGCTTGACAGAGGAGCCGGGCGGCTGGGCTCCCTCTCCAGGTGGCAGCGACGCGTGGCTGAGGGCAACTCCGGTTCAAGAGCTAAAGGGCTGGCAGAGGAGCGGGAAGGCAAGCGAGGCGGAGAGGAGTCCCGAGCCTCCCCACCGCGGCCACACACCGACCGCTACCCCTCCCACGCTCCGGGCAGAGGAAGTCACGATCCGCCGGCCCAAGATGGCGCCCTCCCCTCAATAGCCGCGGCGCGAGGGGCGGGGCCGAGCGGGCCACGTGACCGACCCGGCGAAGCGCGGGCAGCCCGGCGGCAGCGCACACGGCGTTGCTGCTCCGCTAGGGGCGTCCTCTCTTGTCCCCGCCCGGCCCCGAACTCCATCCCAAAGGTGGAAGGTCGGAGTGGGGTTAGGAGGGGGGCACGCAGCCGTGCAGAGGCGCAGAGGGGCTGCAGAACGGGGTCCCTGCCTCCTTGCGCCAAAGCGGGAGGGCGACAGCCTTCAGCGAGGGGTCGGGCGGGAGGAGACTCCCGGTGCGCGGGCATGGCATCCCGCTCAGCCATGGGCGCCGTCGGGGTCTCGGGGCTCCGACCCCTGGACTTGGGCATATCATGGGTTTCACATCGTGCTTCAGCCTCGAAGCCAGCAGTACTGAAAAATAGCTCCAGCCAGACGTTCTCCTAGGGGAGGGGCCGAGCCCGTCTGCCCGAGGGGACTCGCGAGAGATGTCCCGGCCCTCGGGGGTGGAGGGAGTGGAGGTGGAAGGGGGCGGCGGGAGCGGAGAGCTCCCTCCTTGACCATCCAGTGCCTCCTCCTGAGTTTCCATCTCTGCCGAGTGGGCTTGGCCGAGATGACCGCCCTGGAGGAGGGACGGGCGACGCTCGGCGGGCTCTGACGGTGCCGCCTTCATGTGGCTGCTGACAGGGACCCAGGAGGGAACCGGCATGGGGCGCAACCTCGCCTCGCTGTCTCCCCGCCTCCCAGGCGCCGGGGTTGGCGATGTGGAGAAGTGAGGGCACTCACTGCCTGCCCCGGCATCTCCAGGACTCCGCCAGGCACCCGCGCGTCCCTCCGCGCCCCGGGCAGGAGAGGCTCCGTGCGGGGGGCTCCGAGGAAGGCGGCGAGCGGAGCCGGACCCCAGCCTCATCATGGGCCATAACCGGAGCTGGGTCTCCCAAAACGCTAGCGAGCCGCGCAACGCGTCCAGCGGGGAGGCAGCGGGCGCCAAACGCAGCGCGCTCGGGGAGC